AAAAATTTTTAATATTTTTAAGAACTTAAAAGAAAGAAAATTAAGATCAAAGAAAATGGAAAGTAACACACAACCACTTATTCCACAACAAAACCATAAAAAGTATCATACTTATTCATTTATAACATGTTTTGCTGTTGTTGTTAATTACATTGTTGGTACAGGAGTATTTGGATTACCTTCAGCATTTTATTCAGCTGGAGTGCCATTATCAACAATCACAATTCTTATATTTTGCATATTATCATGTGTCACTGCTATTTATGTAATTGAAACATTATCAAGATCACATGGATATGCTATGGCAGTTGAATCAGGAGAATATAAATGTGAAATGGGATATGAAGTATATGATTATTCAACTATGGCACAGATGTGGGGAGGAAAACCAGTTAAATGGGCAACTACTATTACATTAATGTGTAGTGCATATGGATCATTATGGGCATATGTTGCTACATGTGTTTCTACACTATCAACATTATTTTGGTTGATTTATTCTAATGAGCCAATGAAGTGTGATGTATCTAATAGATGGCATTTTGATTGGAAATGTAACGTAACATATTTTACATCAATAGCTGTATATGGACTTGTTGTTATTCCACTTACATTTATTGACCTTACAGAACAATCATTACTTCAATTAGTATTAACTGTTTATAGATTTGTATCATTTCTCATCATGTTCATTACATGTGCTGTACAATTAGGAAAAAATGGACCAATAGAATTAAAAGTAAATACATATGAAGATGTTAGTTTTCTTAAAGAATTTAGGTGGGTTGGTTTTGGTTCAATGTTTACACATGTTGCATTTGCATTAGCATGTCAACAAAATTTACCTGATGCACTTGCACCATTAAATAAAAAGAAATTTTCACATATTGCCACATTAGGGTCAATTATATTATGTTGTTTTATTTATATTGGGATTGCATTAGTTACGTCATGGTGTTTTACAACATCAACACCATCACCAGTAACATTGGCATGGGCAGATTATAATGGATATGAAGGTGGATGGGGAGTAGGAAAAGCTAAATGGTGGGCAATAATTATCAAATATATGATTTTATTATTCCCCATTGTTAACCTTACAAATGAATTTCCATTAGTAGCAACAACATTATCAACTAACATGAGAACATTATTTAGAAATAAAAATAGTAAAAGAACAAAATTTATTACTAAGGCATTAGCTGCATTCCCACCATTCATTTTAACATGTGCAGTTGGTAGTTTAAGAGTAATATTTGATGTTACTGGATCATTTTCATTTGTGTTATGTTTCTCTTTACCATGTATTTTCCATTATTTATCAAGAAGAAAAGTTATTGCTAAATTCAATAAAACTAAAACACCATTTAGTGGACCATGGTCAAGAATTGAAGTTACAGGGGGTGTATTTATTATATCATTATTGCTCTTTATCACTGCAGTAGTATTTATAATAAAAGAATTGGTCACGAATTTTACTGTTGCCTAAATACATGTTTTAATTGCACTTTATTCGTTTTGTGTTGTTTTATGTTCTCCTTGAAAAAGTACTGAATTTTACTTCTCTTTTTTTAACTGAGGTGGTAATTAAAAAGTAAATTAAATATCGCAAACAAGTGCTCCTCCATCATGTGCATTGCAAAATTCTTGATATAATTCTTTAAACTTTTCATCAGTACAATCAGTATCACTTATTGAATATTTCCAGTCTCTTAAACATGATCGTTTACCAATAGCTGTTGGATTTTTATTCATACACTCTAAATAATCATCAGAATATTTTCTAAGTGCCCAACTAGCACAAGAGGCATTAACTATAACAATACACAAAACAAGTACAATCAATGTTTGAACCAATTTCATTTATGGATCTGTTATTATGCTTTACTAGTTCTAAAATTCTTTTTCCATCTTATTTGAATTTTACTTGTTATATATAACGAATCATACTTGTATATCAAATAGATTTGTTTTTGTTTCAGTTTTATCTTACTCTTTTCTTCAGCCAGTTTCATAACAATCTGCAACTGAAATCTCTCTTTATTCATGAACAAATACGATATTTAAAAGATTTACAC